ATGAAATAAGTGAGTCATCGTTAACAAAATAATAGAACATTTTAATAAAAATTAGTGTTTTTCTTAAACATTAACTTACCAGACACTGAATAACTGCATAAATTAATAAATGTAAGGCAAATAAACCTATTTTCCTTGTTTTCCAAAGGCGAAATATTTCCTGTTGTACACGCCAAACAAGTCAGTCCAAGACTAATGGCATGGCCATCGGCTGTTAAAATATTCGCTGCCGGTATTAGTGGAGAGAAATGGTGCGCCTGAGAGTAAGGCTCGTAAAGGAAATGAATACAACATGACTATAGTGATCAGTCATTACAACTGTTGTAGTTCGTTATTAATAATTATGTATAACAGGATATTGTAAAAATTAAGTTACAAATTTTTATTAAAGCGTTTCTTACATACCGTTATATTGTCTGGGCTGGAAAAATATTCGTGTGGGCCCATGTGGCTTAAGCCGTGAGTTTGACATGCTTGGGCTACTCCGTGCTTCCTACCCTCTGCAAACCAGCTTTCTCCTTTTCCTCCTCAACACAGCAGCACACTGCCCTCAGGGCTCCCCAGTCCCGTCTCAGACCCTGAGAAGGTGCTGATGGGTGCAGGCTACATCCCAGGAGGGGGTGTGGACCAGATGCCCAGCCCTGCCTGTCGGTCGTGCGGGAGCGAAGACAGGCTGTTTCCTGGCGTGGCGGCCCGAGGCCCACCCTCCGGTGTCTGGGGCCCACGGTGGACAGTGGAGATGGGGAGACACCCAGGAGGAGCTGGCCCCCACCCAGCAGGAGGCCCGCCACCCCTACCTCCAGCAGCCCAGGAGGCGAGACGACCAGGGAGAATTTTGTTTGTTTTTCAGTTGAGAAGAAGTGTCCACATCATATGCAGCAATGTGCTACCGACACCCCAGATCAAGACTTAGAACAATCCGCCGAAACCGGTTTGGCTCAGTGGTAGAGCATCGGTCTGCAGACTGGAAGGTCCCAGGTTCGATTCCGGTCGGGGGCATGTACCTTGGTTGCGGGCACATCCCCAGTGGGGGGTGTGCAAGAGGCAGCTGGTCCATGTTTCTCTCTCATCGACGTTTCTAGCTCTCTATCCCTCTCCCTTCCTCTCTGTACAAAATCAATAAAGTATATTTAAAAAAAAAAAAAAAAAAAGGCTTAGAACAACTCCAGCACTCCCGAAGGCCCCGCTGCCCCCCCCTCCCCCCCGCAGGGTCCCGCCCTGAAGACTCATCGCCAGGTTAGCGCTGCCTCTCCTTGGACTCCAGGTAAACGGAATTGCAGCCGGTGTTCCTTCGGGCTTCGGCCTTCCTCACTCACGCCTGTGAACAAAGCCCATATGCCTGCACGTGGGAGCCAGAACCCAGTCTTTTTGGAAGGGGAAGCCCCAGTCCTCGGATTGGGGAGGGCTGGTAAACCTGGGGAGGTCTTTGTTGTGGCTGTTGTTTTTTGTTGTTGTTTTTTCCTTCTTTTTTTTTTTATATATATATACAATATTTTATTGATTTTTTTTTTTTTTTACAGAGAGAAAGAGAGAGAGAAACATCGATGAGAAAGAAACATCATTCAGCTCCTCCTGCACACCCCCTGCCGGGGGCGTGCCCGCAACCAAGGCGCATGCCCTTGACCGGAATCGAACCCAGGACCCTCCAGTCAGCAGGCCAAGGCTCTACCCCCCTGAGCCAAACTGGTTTCAGCTGTTGTTTGTTTGTAATCCTCATCCGAAGATCTTTTCCTCATTGCTTCGCAGAGTGAGAGGAAAGGGAATGAGGGGGAGAGACAGAGAAACATGGATGCGGGAGAGACAATCGATTTCTTGCCTCCCATACACACCCTGACCTAGGAATGAACCTGCAACCCAGACTCACGGCCGGAACTGACCCTGTGACCCTCCCGTCCCCGGGCTGACGTTGTAACCACGGAGCCACACCGGCCGGGACAAACATTGTGAGGTTTGATACAGAACGCACTTCGTTCTTGCTAACGGTTTGGAAGCACAGACGTTGCCCACGATCTCTTCGCTGTGCTCTCCACTTGTGATGGGAAAACTCCATTCTTTCTTCTCCGGGAAGCTGGCCACGAGCAGATGGAGACAGGGCGGATGGTTTCACAGCTTCCTTCACAGAGAGAAACAGCCCCTCATCCTCCCTGCCTCCGTGGGGAAGGGAACCTTAACTGGCTTCCCGCGGCTCAGCCCCAGGAGTGGGGGGAGAGGGGGAGGGGAGAGCCAGGAGCTCAGGGGAAAGTGGTGTTAGCCGCTGAGTTCCATAAAAATGAGGAAGGACAGCGTCGCTTCAGTCAGTGTTATTTCCGTGTCTCCGGAACTGGGTGGCTTCTCTCGTTTTGAGGGGCCCCTGGCTGGCTCCTACAGTTGCTCCCTTATATTTCCCCCTCATGTGGTGTAAGGGGAGGGGGAGGGAAGGGGGTACTCAGGTTGAGCACCTACTATGCACCAGGCACTTCCACGGGGTTCCACGTACGTGATCTGTTTTTAATTGGTTTTTGACAGAGAGGAAGGGAGAGGGATAGTCAGAAACATTGATGAGAAACATTGATCAGCTGCCTCCTGCACCCCCCTCCCCCCTGCCGCATTGGGGATGTGCTCCCAACCAAGGTACACTCCCCTGACCGGAATCAAACTGAGACCCTTCAGTCCGCAGGCCGATTCTCTATCCACTGAGCCAAACCGGCCAGGGCTGTCTTTTTTTTTTTTTTTTTTTTTTTGTTTTGTTAATATATGTACTGCTGCTCTAGCTGGTTTGGGTCAGTGGATAGAGTGTCGGTCTGCAGACTAAAGGGTCCCAGGTTTGATTCTGGTCAAGGACACATGCCCAGGTTGCAAACTCAATTCCCCCCACGTAGGGGTGTGCAGGAGGCAGCCAATCAATGATTCTCTATCATCATTGATGTTTCTATCTCTCTATCTCGCTCCCTTCCTTTCTGAAATCAATAAAAATGTATTTTAAAAAATATATATGTACTGCTGAAATGAGCACCATAATTTTTTACAAAATGTTAATTTTAATTTTTTTCAATTACAATTAACATTCAATATTATATTAGTTTAAGCCCTAGCTGGTTTGACACAGTGAATAGAGCATCAGCCTGCAGACTGAGGGGTCCCGAGTTTGATGTCCAGGTTGCAGGCTCCATCCCCAGTCATTGATGTTTCTAGCTCTCTCTCCCTCTTCCTTCCTCTCTGAAATCAATAAAAAATATATTATACTAAAGGCCTGATGCACGAAATTTGGCCCGGCCCTCGGAGCCCCAGCTTGGTTCAGAAGGACGTCCAGAGGATGTCCAGAAGGTCGTTTGGCTGTCCAGTCTAATTAGCATAGCACGCTTTTATTATTATAGATTAGCTTCAGGTGTACAACAAAGTGGTTAGACATTTGCATAACTTATGAAGTGACCCCCCTGATAAGTCTAGTGCCCAGCCGACACCATACATAGTTATTAAATATTATTGACTATATTCCCTACCCTGAACTTTACAGCCCGTGACTATTTTGTAGCTGCCAATTTGTACTTCTTAATCCCTTCACCTTTTTCACCAACCCCTTCCCCCTGGCAATCATCAGTGCTCTGTATCTGTGAGTTAGTTTTTAGTTTGTTTGTTTTTTTGTTGTTCGTTTATTTTGTTCATTAGATTCCACCTGGAAGTGAAATCATGTAGTATTTGTGTTTCTGTCTGACTTAGAATGCCCTCCCGGTCCATTCATGGTGTCACACCACGGACGTGGTCTCATTCCATCCCGGCCGAGGGGAGGCGCCCGGCCCTCAGACAGAGGAGACGGCTCAGGGAGCTTCCTATGTAACCCTGTCCTCGGTCACAGTCAGTGCTGAGCTCTGAAGCCACGTCTGTGGGTCAGCTGTGCTGCGGCAGCCCCACCGGGCCTCCTAGGGGAGCCGATGTCCAGCCCTGGGCGGGGGAGGGCCCGCTGCGCTGGCCAGGCCTCTGGGAAAGCTGCGCTGCCCACACCTGAGCACACGCGGGCAGCTGCCCCCTTCCCAGGGGGGCGGGGAGATAGCTCAGCCGCCCCCGGGGCCTGGGCCCGGGGCCAGGGTCAGGGAAGCCTGAACGGAAGGGAGAGTCTTAAATGCTGGCCTTGCAGGTATTAAGTGAGAAAAGGGAACCGGCGAGAATCGTTTGAGGACCTCCTAAGAGCTCTTGGAGACAGCCTGTGTGAGGGCGGGAGGGGTGCAGAACACACACACACACACACACACACACACACACACACCGCCCCCACGAGGCTGCGGACCTGGTCAGCCACAGGGACCCGGGAGGCCTCCTCCTGAGCCTGACACCAGGTCCTGGCTTTGGGGGGTCAGAGCAGCGCCAGACTAGCGTAAGGAGGAGAGGGCTTCAGAGGGAGCCCCAGGAGGGCTTACACGGGGCCTCTCTTCCCTCCCCTTCGTCCAGACGGCAACAGTAGCAGCAGCCAACACACTGCTCACACGTGCCAGCCCTGTCCTGAGCTCTAACTATCTATTAATATATAAACAGCATATCGATTCCATTAGCCCTTAATGTTTTTTAAAGATTTTTAATAGATTTCTAATAGATTTTTAGAGAGGAAGGGAGAGAAACGTCATGCATCGGCTGCCTCTTGCACACCCCAAGGGGTCGGAGCCCACAGCCCAGGCTGAACTGAACTGGCAGCCCCTCAGGGTGCAGGACGAGGCCCAACCAACTGAGCCACACTGGCCGGGCACCCTTACGACCCGAAATGATCCTCAGTTGGCAGACAGGGAAACTGCCCGCAGAACAGATAGCTTGCTCAGCGAGTGGCTTGTGCAGGTAAACGTGCCCCAGAGCCCACACTCTGCACATGACGCAATCCCACCACCCACCTCCCATCAGCCAGGTGCCCGGGTGCCACCCGCTTACCTTATCAGCCCCGCCCCTCCCCCAGCGGCGTGCACAGCTGGGCTCTGCTCACGCAGCCCTGCAAGCCAGGAAGGGGGTCACCCGCGGACAGGCCTTTTATAGCCCCAGCACCCAGCCGGCCCTGCCTTCTCCCCTGACCTGCCGGCTGCTCCCGACCCCCGCTGTGCCCACTCACCATGGAGAAGACCCTCGTCCTGCTGCTGGTCACCCTGGCCGTGACCTACGCCGTCCCCGACCCCCGCGGGATCATCATGAACCTGGTAGGAGGGTCGGGGGGCGTTAGGCGTGGCTCCTGACCCCGGGGTCCCCCTGGGGCTGCGGGGCTGGGAGGGGAGGGCCTGTGCCCCGTCCTGCCCTGCTCCCCAGGGGCCGGAGGAGCTGGCCGCGGGCACCTGCTCAGAGCAGAGGTCAGCCTGGCTAAGGGGGTCTGCAAACTAGAGCCTCGCACCCCTCCTGACAGCCTGGCTCAGGGCCAGTGCTTAGGCTCCCCCGTGGCTCTGGCTCCGACCCCAGCGCCCCTTCCAGGGACCAGGCGTCCCGAGAGCCTCACGGACACTGAGGACCCTTCCTCTCCACCTGGACAGCCACGCTCTCCCTGCCCACCCCTCCCCAGCACACCGCCTCTCCCCAGGGCAGGACCAGGCTCTCTGGGGGCCACCCACCCCATCTAGAGGTCCCTAAGGGGGGCCACGCCCGGGCTGGGGTGCTCAGGTCTGTGGGGGGGGGGGGGGCGGTTTCCGGGGAGAAGGCCCCTCATTGTCACAGCTCCTTCCTCACAGGCCTGTGGGCCCAGGGGCTCGGAGCCGTTTGGGGGCCATGTGAGCACCCTCTATGGGAGCACTAAGGCAGGGGGACACGACCCCAGGACCACCCAGGGAGATGCTGGAATGGGGTGCCCTGCCCCCGCCAGGCTGCCTCCCTGCACCACACCGCCCTTCCTCCGGGGGTGGGGTGGGGTGGGGTGGGAGTGGGGACGGCAGCGGGGGAGGGCCAGGGGAGCCGGGGGGAGGGCCAGGGGACCCGCTGACCGCCGCCCCCGCAGGAGGAGGGCGAGCTCTGCATGAACAGCGCCCAGTGCAAGAGCAAGTGCTGCCACCGCGCCAGCGGCCTGAGCCTGGCCCGCTGCGCGCCCAAGGCCAGCGAGAACAGCGAGTGCTCCGCCAAGGTGGGTCCGGGGGCGGGGCCCCGAGGGGCGGCCTCAGGCCTGGGGGTGCGGGAGGAGGGCAGCTGAACCCAGTGCCGGAGAGAAGGGGGTAGAGGCTCCCAGAGCAGAGGAGCCAGGGCGGAGCCGGGGAGCCGGGGAGGGGGCCAGTCCGGGAGAAGCACCGCCTGGGTCCGATCCAGGGAAGGGACCGCCAGATCCAGGGACCCCCCAGCCTGTGACTCCCGGCTCCTGTCTCCGCAGACGCTCTACGGGGTTTACTACAAGTGCCCCTGCGAGCGGGGCCTGACCTGCGAGGCGGACAAGTCCATCGTGGGCTCCATCACCAACACCAACTTCGGCTTCTGCCGCGACCAGAGCCGCTCCAGCGAGTGAACCCCCCCCCCCCCCCCACGCCATGAGGATGCCCCTGCACCCCCTCTCCCCGCTGGCCACCCCCGGACAGCACCTCCGTTCTGATTGGGTTCTTGGCCATTAAAGCCCGTCCTGCAAACCTCCCGCCTGCTGTTCCTGCGGAGCCGCGTCTGCCTGGCGCTCCTCTCCCAGCCGAGCCCCAGCCAGCGGCCAGGGGAGGGGAGGGTCTCCCCAGCGGAGGAGACAGGCTGTAAGGCAGAGGGCCTCCCGCTTCTGGGGGGCAGCCCTCCTCCCTGGGAGGCCCTCCTTCCCCTCGGGTGCTCAGACAGGAAGACAGGCAAGCATGTGTACACACATGTACTCACATGCACACACACGCACGCACACCCCACTGGCGGGGGCTATATTGACCCTACTCGTTGCCCTGCACCAAAGCTTCCCTGTCCCCCAGTGCTGGGCTCACACCTCTGGCTGGGCCCCTCTCTCAGGTATGACAACCAGAGGACACACACATGTGTGACAGGCCAGACTGTTAGGGTCGCCGAAGGAGGAACGCATGAGGCCAAAAGGGGTAAAGGGTTATGAGTTCATTAGGTCATCCGGGTACCAGATGGGCTGAGCCCCAAAATGGCATCAGCGCCCAAAGACGGGGAGCCAGAGGTTTCCAAAGGACTCTGGGCGGAGAATCTCTGTGCGGGTCTGGATCCTGGGAAACTTCGGAGGAGAGAACCGTCTTAGCAAGTGGGAGGTCCGTTGGGAAGGGGCCCACAGGTCCGTCCCTGGGGGAGGGGCCTGACACAGACACCGCATCGCCGTGGGCGCCCTGTGCTCCCACTCAGAGGCTCACAGGGACCCTGGGAGCATGGTTGTCTCCGCTCAGAGGTAAAAGGCTGAGGGGTGAAAGGTCCAGTTCCTTGCCCAATGTCACAACTAGCAAAAGTTGACACTAAACCCCACCCCCACCTCTTTCCTACAATTCCCTGTTTTTTCCCAATTATCCATGCCAAAACAGTTGGGTGGAATTGCAGGAAACTTAGTTCTGGTTTAATATAAAAATTTCATACTGAAACCTGGGTCCCCGTCTGAGACGTGCAAGTGGAGGGTCGCTGAGTGGGGATGCTGGAGAGGAGAGTCCGGTGGGAGATGAACTCAGTGAAACGGAGGTGTCTCCCAGCCCCAGGATTCTGCAGTTCCGGCATCAAAGGATCCTTCTAGTATCGTTGGGGTTATGAGTTAGGGACTCGTTCAGTTGTAACCAAGAAACAACAACAACAAGTAGTATGGCTTTAGACATAGGGGCATATGTTTCTCACGAATGAAGAAGTCTAAAGACGGGGGTGCTGGCGTTGGGGGCTGGCAGATCCGCTGTTCTCTGGACGTCTCACAGTTGGCAAACGCCTGCATAGCAGCGGAACGTCATCTCCCCTCACCGTATGCGAAGCCAGAAAGTGCAGAGCAGAGGTTGGGAGAGGGAGTGAGGGCAGGTCGGTCTCCTAGCACACCCTCTTGTCTTGTGCTAAAGCCTCCTGAAGACTTCTCCACATCTGCATGTCAACAATAGGTCACCTGACCGCCTCTAGCTGCAAGGGAGGCTGGGAAAGCAGGCATTGGCCAAAGGCGATGTGGTTAAATTAGTCACTGTCCCTCCCCAGGGCTTGGACACATTATAACTCAAACATTGGGGTTCAGTGAGCAAGGAAGGGGCAATGGCTGGTTCCAGTCCTGCCACACCTGAGTCAGTGCTCCGCCAGAGGAGCTCTCAACACCGTAACCCACAGGGGTCTCGGGCCCCGAGGCAAGGTGGGGCACACTTCTCGGTGTCCAGATTCAGCCCTGCAGGGCCTGCATTCCTTCACTCTTCACACAACCCCTGAGTGGCCACTTGCCAGCACTGAGTTACAGCCTGGGGACACGAGGAAAATGCCCTTCGTTTCCAGGAGCGAGTAGGGAGCTGGGCTCTGCAGAAGCAAGTGGCCCAGAGCCCTGTTCCTCGTATTAAGTGTATTTCACCTGAAACTGTTTCTTCATACTGCGCCTGGCTGCTGGGCAGAGGGAGCCTGGGGCTCTTGTTGCTCTTGTTCTAAAAAGCCTTTCTCTCTCTAAGCCTGAGCCCCTCGTCCTCCCATTTTCTAACTCACATACAGCTGTCCTAGAGGCTGTAGCCTTGGCATTGACCCTCTCCATCTTAACAGCCTGCTCCCAGGAATCCCCATATGGCTGGGACTTTTCCTAGTCCTGCTAGATATTCAGCTCTGAAAGCCGGAGTTTTTGCAGCCTAGAGTCTATAAAACATTCCTGATGCTGGGCCCTGGCGACCTTCATTGTCTCAGACGATAGGGCTCAGCCAGCCACACATTCATCCCTTGGCTTGTGGCTCATCTGAATGGAGAGAAGGGCAAATTACAAACTGGATTTTGAAGATCAAGTTCCAAAACAAGCTAAAATATCTCCAATAAAAAATTACATGTTGAAATAAAAAAAAAACTCGATTCAAAGTTGATTCCACCTGCGGATCATACTTTCAGTATGGCTATTCGAACATTGAAATCACATATGTGGCTTCATTTTACTTCCATTGGAGGGCTGCCTAGAGAACTGACTCTCCGCAGAGGAAGCGCCATCTGACACCTCGAAGCACTTTCTCCCCAAGGCTCCAGCTTCTGGCAGCAGAGGCCTCACCAGGACCTCTCTTTCCGCAGGGGCAGCTGAGGAATCCATGGGTTGTGAAGGGATCCAGAATGCACCACCGTAGCATTGCTATGTTTTGAACAGAAGGCATTTGAGTGTAGGCTTTTTTCCTGAACCCCCTTATTTACCAGAGCCTCCCAAAAGAACTCAGTTATCGTCATAAAGCCCCCCAGGGAGGTTTCTTATAACGAGCCAAGATGGACTCCTGCTGCGCTGACTTCATGATCGGAGGAGATGTTTGCACCACACCTAAGTGGCCGTTGTCACACGGTTGTCATATCTCTCCTATTTACTCCCTACGAGCCCATTTATCTTTTCTAAAACTCATTTGTCTTCCCATAAATGCCCTCCCCCTTCTTTTCCCCTATTAAAACGTCATTTTCCAAAGTGTCCTTCTCTGCCCTGGCTGGTTTGGCTCAGTGGATAGAGTGTCAGCCTGTGGACTGAAGGGTTGCAGGTTTGATTCTGGTCAAGGGAACATGCCTGGGTTATGGGCTCCATCACCAGTAAACAGGAAGCAGCCAATGATTCTTTCTCATCATTGATGTTCCTCCCCCCCCCCTCTCTCCCTTCCTCTTAAAATCAATAAAAATACCTTTTTTTTTTTTTTTTTTTTTAAGTTTCATTCTCCCCTTCCCTTCCCCATTTGGATGATATATGAGCCCCAAATCCTAACTGCCTCACTGAGTCACACTTTTCTGTGAACTCCCCCATTTCTCTATACTACTAAAAGGGTAATATGCTAATTATACCAAAGCCTCAAGGGCTGCAAGGACTGAGGGCCTTCGGCGCGGGAGAGGCAGCAGCACGGGAGGAGAAGGCCATCTCAGCAGCTGTGCGAGGACAGCTCTCGCGACAGCCAGGGGAGAAGAGACACACACACACCCCTCCCCCAGTGTATGAATTTCCATGCACCTGGCCTCTAGTATATATATAAAAGCCTAAGATTGCATGACCAGGCGATTGGCTGGTAGCTGTGACTACACTGACCACCAGCGGCAGATGCTCACCTCAGGAGCTGCTCCTGTGATGGGCGCGCTCCCACAGCTGGAGCACACTCAGCTGACAGACGGGCACCAGACACCAGGCTCACAAGCCTCTCCTACGGACACGTCTCTAGCGTGCCCGAGCAGCGGCAGAGCAGGGCGGGGATGAGTGGGAGCAGTGCTCCTTCCCGGCCACCTACTGCTTCCCGCACTGCTTCACGCTGTGCGAGACCAGCACTGGCAGGGGGCTGGGGCCAATGAGCTGGCTGTGAGGCTGAGCTGCAGGGGTGCAGAGGTCCACTGATCCCACAGGCCAGGCCAAGGGACCCAACTGGTGCACAAATCCGTGCATCAGGCCTCTAGTCTATGTATATAAAAGCCTAATATGCAAATTGTCCCCTCGGGAGTTCAATCGGGAGACCGGGAGTTTGATCGCTCACTATGACGTATCCGATGGCACAGGATGAAGGAAGGCCCCAGCCAGCGACTGGAAGGCCCCGATTGGCCCTGATTGCTGGCCAGGCCTAGGGACTCTACCCATGCATGGAGTTTGTGCACCAGGCCTCTAGATTACAAATAAAGAAAAATCTGTCTTTTCCCTTGTTAATCTCTTCTGTCACTTTAATTTGCAGACCTCCAAACACTGAACTAAGAGGATAGAAAAAAAAACTTTCTACCCAACACTTAGAACCAGTTTAATTATATCAGCAACATATCTTTTTTTTCTCTCCCTTCAACTTTTAAGACAGTGATTACCCCTGGAGGCTGGGCTTCCAGCTTGCAACCTCTACTTCCAAGGTTGTTTCATTGATTCTCCAAATGGGGAACTCATGTAACACTGTGAACTATAACAATGTGTATCTGCCTGATGTATATGTAACACTATGGATATGTCTGATGTGTTTACATATTTTACCAAATTATGACTTGCACTTTTGCTGATTTATAGGGGAGTGTTCTTGCACCATAAACCTGGCACCCTGGACAGCAACCTCTGGCTCAGGTCTAGAGGCTTCACTTCAATCAGAGGCGTGCAGAGCCTGGAGCCTGAGGTACGAAGTGTAACCTGAATGTAATGGCCGCCTTGAGCCCGCCTCTGCGGAGGACGCACCGCACTGCACACAAGCCAGCGAACTAGCCCCGGCTCTGAGAGCCTTGCACCACGCAGGGCAGCTTCCGGAAGCTCCTCTTGACTCCTCCTCTTCCCGTCCGCACGCTGGGTGCTCCGTCTTCCTCCCCCTCTCTTCCCGGGGCTCTCCTTCCTTCCTCATCCCTTCCTTCTAACCCGACGCCCCTGAAGAGTCATGATCATCGCTTTCAAGCTGTGTGACCTCGAGCAAGTTGCTGTGGACAAAGAAAGAGGTTCTGTGGGCGGTAACCCCACAGGATGATCTGATCATGAATGGCTAACTAGGCAGGTCATGGTGGGTAGTCACGTCCCAGGCCTATCAAAGGTTGATCTTGGCCTTGAGCATTGTTTTTTTGTTTGTTTGTTTTTTAATATATTTTATTGATTTTTTTACAGAGAGGAAAAGAGAGGGATAGAGAGTTAGAAACATCGATGAGAGAGAAGCATCGATCAGCTGCCTCCTGCACACCCCCCATCGGGGATGTGCCCGCAACCAAGGTACATGCCCTTGACCGGAATCGAACCCGCGACCTTTCAATCCGCAGGCCGATGCTCTATCCACTGAGCCAAACCGGTTTTGGCATTGAGCATTGTTTTTGTGCATCTAAGTCAGCTGACCTTTGAAACACCAGAAGCAGTCCTCTTTTCCAGACCCCTTTGGAGGCATAGCCACCCTCAAAGGAGCACATACTCTTGTTAACTATCCTGTAATCCAGCAATTTTCACCTCTTTACATCTCATGCCACTCATAAACTAATCACTAAAATTCTGTGGAACTCGAGAAAAGATACTATATTTTTTGCCAATCTGACAAAAAAAATTTTTTTTTTACTGTCTTACAAAAGAATGATAATAATAGTCATTTAATTACCTACCCTTTTTGCTCCAAAATGTCTTTTTACCAAATCAGATGCTTATTCTTGCATATAAGGATTTCTGGTACCAAGAGTTAGCCAATCAGATGCAACCTTCTTGTGCCACGCAACCAATAAGATGCAACTCTATTATGTACCCTATATGTTTATGGTTAAAGACAGGGAATTCACACCAGACAGCTATTGCTCTGCTGGCCATTGTCATTTTTGTGATTTGAGAATCTGAAGGAAGAGGTCAATGCCCCAGCCGGGTGCTCAGTTAGGTGGGACTTGTCCCTTACGAGTTTGATTCCTGGTCAGAGCACATACCCAGGTTGTGGGTTCAAACCCCGGTTCGGGCATACGGAGGCAACTTATTGAGCTTCTCTCTCTCACTCCCTTCCTCGCTCTAAAAATCAATTAACATACCCGTGGGTGAAAATATCCTTGTAACACATAGTTGAAAATTGCTGCTATAATCCAATTCTCACCTTGCTTTCTCCCAACTTCATTTAATCTTTTTTAGTTTCCTCATTTCTGTAAACTATCATTTTAGAACACATTTAAGATCGTGCTTTCTGACAATTATCCTCAGTTTGGTTCAAATAAATTCTTTTTTAAAAAACTATATTTTATTGATTTTTTACAGAGAGGAAGGGAGAGGGATAGAGAGCTAGAAACATTGATGAGAGAGAAACATCAATCAGCTGCCTCCTGCACACCCCCCATTGAGGATGTGCCCACAACCAAGGTACATGCCCTTGACCAGAATCGAACCTGGGACCCTTCAGTCTGCAGGCTGATGCTCTATCCACTGAGCCAAACCAGTTTCGGCTCAAATAAATTCTTATAAAAATTCTCTACAGGTTTAGGTGCTTCTTATGCTGGCTTTGCCAAGTCCCCTGTCTTCTCACCTATGGAATAGGGTGATAACATACCTACTCCTCATGGGTTTTTGTAGTATTATGTGAGATCATGCGTGTAAGGTCCCTGGCATCTAGTGTGTACTCAATAAACATTCAATTCTTTTTAAAAATATATTTTATTGACTTCAGAGAGGAAGGGAGAAGGATTGAGAGATAGAAACATCCATGAGCGAGAGCCATCGATCCACCTCCTGCATGCCTCACACTGAGGATCAAGCCCGCAACCCAGGCATGGACACCAACCAACCAGGAATTGAACCTGGTTCCTGGGTCGACGCTCAACCACTGAGCCACGCCAGCCAGGCAACACTCAATTCTTTTTCTTTTTCTTTTTTTTTTAAATAATGATCTTGTTTTCTTTTTCTTTTTTTTTCTTTTTTTAAAATATTTTATTGATTTTACACAGAGAGGAATTGAGAGGGATAGAGAGTTAGAAACGTCAATGAGAGAGAAACACCGACCAGCTGCCTCCTGCACAACCCCCACTGGGGATGTGCCTGCAACCAAGGTACATGCCCTTGACCGGAATCGAACCCGGGACCTTTCAGCCCACAGTCCGACGCTCTATCCACTGAGCTAAACCGGTCCCGGCAACACTCAATTCTTTATACACATGTTCGTTCTGTACGCTTTCTTTCCCGTTTCTGAAATGTAAGGCCAGGGAACCAAGAGCCCAGGGGTAAACTGAGTCACTATGGAGTGGGCTAACGCCGGAAAGGGAGTGGGGCTGGGAAGGGGAACTCAAGCCCCCTCTGAAGGACTTTTATTCAACAGGGGAAGGCTCTGCTGACCCCGAGAAGGAACATACCTGTCAAGAAGGACTCCTTGTGGTTAATTAGGCAAAAAATTCATAATCAGAGCCTAGCCGCCAGTGCTGACAGGGGCTTCTACTGATACTGCACCTCAGGAGAAGCCACAGACCAAACCGCCAGCTTTCTGCACTGTGTTCCCTCCTGCCTGCTGAGCCAGCCCCTATAAAGGAGTTTCTGGAATTGTCTTTCAACCAATGGGTGAGACCTGTCACGTCCAACATCCTCATTTGCATTTTTGCTGACCAATCAGAGCATCTCCACAATGACCAATCAGAATGCATGAGTCTGACCAATGAAGACAGTGCATTTGGATGAATAAGACTGTACCATTTGGGTTTCCTCGTTTGCATAGAAACAGACCAATCAGGGGCAGGGGTGGGAGCTTTATAAGAGCGGGCCTCCCCCTTGCTTCAGCCGAGGGCACTTTGGGTTTCCTTTGAAGGCTGCTGCTCCTGGTTTGGCCAGCTACTAGCACATCTGACTGAAGTTGCTCCTTCTCCCACCCCAGATGGAGGATTCCTGCTGGCACTGGCTTGGTCCCTGCAAACTTTTGTCAACAACCCCAAGCCCAAGAGAACCCCTTCCTGTGTCCTTCCCCATTTCCTCCCAACTCCCTGCTGCCCCAGGAACCTGTTCCCCAGCCCCCACCTCCAAGGCAACAATTTTTTTTAATTTTTTTTATTGATTTCAGAGAGAAAGGGAGAGGGAGGGAGGGAGGGAGAGAGAGAGAGAGAGAGAGAGAGAGAGAGAGAGAGAGAGAGAGAGAGAGAAACATCAATGATGAGAGAGAATCATTGATCAGCTGCCTCCTCACACCCCCTAGTGGAATCAAACCCACAACCCAGGCATATGCCCTTGACTGGAATCGAACCTGGAACCCTTTAGTCCACAGGCCAGGGCTCCATCCACTGAGCCAAACTGGCTACGGTCAAGGCAGCAAATATTGAAAACTTTATTTCAGTGATGGCGCACTATCCCCCCCCTGGTGGTGGAGGCTGGGGCGGGACAGGAACAGTCCGGGGTAGACCTGGAGTGGGCAGAGGAGGAGGGGCAGGAGACACGGAGGGGGGCACATTAGAAAATACTTCTCTTACTTGGCTTCTTTTTTGCCACTTTCTTACAACGGCCGAAGGTAACTTTAAAGGATTTCTCATTCTTAGAAAATACACAAGTCAGGTCCGACTGGCAGGGACATTCTGTATACAGGCCGAGG